AAATGGTGAAAATTGGAGATAAAATCACTTCCACATAGGGATATATTGATAATAAGAGACTATCACCAAGAGGGCGAACCGACCTAAACAAAAATGTCATCCATTTTCATATTGTTCCCAAACGACTGTTTACATCTCTTGGGTTGTGCAAGGGCAAGTAAAGGGCTTGTCCAAGACTTTAACTGTGCCTGCTGTCAGTTTTAAAGCTAAGATTCATAGGATTAAAAGCAAGTGCTGTAGCAAACTCTGCCTTCTGGAAGCAACAATGTAAGTAGTTATAATGTGAAAGAAAATCCTTCCTTTCAAGTTGCTGTCTCCAGTGTACAAAATCCCTTCTCTGTCTTTTCAAAAATACTGTCATAACAAGCTTTAGTCCCAGCTTCTTTCATCAGGAAGATGCCCAAATCAATGGAGTTGGAAGAGAGGGGAAAAAAAACCCAACCTTGCAGGCACTGCGGCCTGCACCTCCACATCAAGTATTAAGTATATTAAAAGCAGCTAACAAAAGGAAGAGAAGGCACCTCATGATGAAAACCTAAGTACATCTAAAGGAAGGGAAGTAATCCACTGAAAGGCCTCGTGAGGGTGTGGGCAGAGCAGCGCTCTCCACAGGTAAGTCAGCACCTTACAGCTGGTACTGGTCAACCAGATGACTGGTATGCCTGTAAGCTCAAAGTAGATCCAAGTCTCTTAGGCTTCATGCGGCGGTTGAGCAATGCAAACATGTTTCGGTATAGACTGTTAAAGCCACAGATTGACGTGACCCAGATTGACAAAACACAAGGAAATCTGAGGCAACATGTTACTAGAAGAGGAATCATGTCTCTCAAACTTCTCCATTTTCTTAAATGCTGAAGGAAAGCTCGATGCAGGATGATAATTTACCAGATGGTTGGTGTCAGAAAGAAGCTTCCTGAATATAGGCAACACTGACACTTTCTTAAGAAAATCTGGCAGTTCTCCCTCCTGAGGAGAGATGTTGAGAATTTCCAATAATACTGACCCAATTTCCTTTGGTAACTCCAGCGCTGAGGGAATCTAGAGTTAGTGTAGCATTGTATCCCCTTCTGAGGTGTTGCTCCATTTCTGTGGATACCGCCTGTTCAGTGTGAATTAGAAGAATTTTTAGGTACTGCTGAAAATACTGAACAGGATCTTCATAATATGTGGTAGAAAAAGATTTAGTAGTTCATTTTTCTCTAGCCCAAAATGGTGGATGGTTTTTTTAGTAAGTGATACAAGCTAGATACAGGAAATGCCTCTGCTTTCTATACATCAAAGGCATCAAACACATGTGATGTAGTTAGTCAGCTCCTGGTCTTGATGTCAGTCACTCACCAGGTGTTAGAAATCACCTATAGACAGAGATGTGTGGGGAAGTGTTACTTTTCTTGGAAACCATTGCTGCTTTAAGAGGTTTATGGTCCAGTGTTACAGATCTGATTTTCTGGATTGTTAAATTGCTGTTACAATTGGCAGATTCTCATACTAACAGAGTTGAAACTATGTCCTCAAGAGTGTTGTTATAATCTAAATCTGTATACACTCCTATTTTTGTGTGATTGATACTGGTGTAGATCCTAGGAGTTCATAGTGCTAAAGAGTGGGAGATAACTATTTGCTACCCTCAGTGAGTCCCATCTGTTTTCTTCTAGATGGGTATAAATTGTCTTTCTCCTTAGTCACTTGGAAAAAGCCATAATGTATTGTTTTTCTGGAGAAAGGGAAAAGAAGAGAATGAGTTTTAGTTAAGCATACGTTTAAAGTTGAGTTATATTTTAATTATTATAGACTCCAATCTGTAGGTTTGAGTTACTCATGTGTCTTGTTGAACCTTACCTGTGTTAGTTCTCAAGATCCTGAGCCCTGGGGCTCTAGTGGGACAAACACAGACCATAGCTTTCTTGAAGTGCAAGCTCAGTTCAGCTGCGTATCCAGAAAAATATTTTTCGTATTTAACCTGTAAGGAATTAGACTCCAGAAGACTACTTTTCCTCTGGGAGTAGTTTGAGAACACAGAAAGACCTGAAATTGTGATCAGGCCTTAAATCCTAATGAGAGCTAGAGGATGGTTAAGAGGAAAACAAAGTCTTGGGAGGCCTTTGTCTTCAGCTAAAACATTTTTCTGAAATTCAGAAATGTGGAACCATGAACATCATCTCAGGTAATGAGGTGATCACTGAAGAGCCGCAAGAAGAAACTACAAGCTGCATAACTGGCAGAGATTTTCCATGTGGCTGTGGTGCACCAAGCAGGCTTGGGATTAGCCAGTAAAAATGCCCATGCAAGTAACCTCATGACCAGTGAAAGAAAGGAGCAAGACAAAGCTGCTTCTTATCCCTTTAGAAGGCTTCTGGATGTGAGGAGGATACATGCAAGCACTGATCCTGGTAGCAGATGAATCAAAATCTTGGCAAAGCATGTTTTATTCCTATCACTGGGCTGTCTCCTACAAGTTCCAGTGTCTAGTCTTTAAAAGTCCTTGGAACTTGCTGGAGGAAAATTTCAGTTGGAGCTGAACACAGCATGTTATATTTTGAGGCTTTGATTATTCAGGGCCTGACAGGCTCAGGGAGATTTCATTGCCTCTGGGCAACATCTGCAGCGAAGCCTTGTAACAAAAGGATTGAGTGGCCTCACAGGGCTCCTTGATAGCCTGTATTGCATTAGAAGGAAGATGTGGTTACGTAGTCAGGGTAATTAATTAGCATTTCTATAAGCAGTCACAAGTCCTGTTAACCTTGTAAATGCAGGAGGCAGGAATGAAGCACAGATGTGAAGGCTCTGAAGATAAACTCTGCATGTGTATGTTCACTTGATTTTGTTGATGAGCTCCACTAAATTTTTTCAAGATCAACCTTAATTTAGCATGGCTAAGGATCCAAATACACCCAACATCTGTTCATGTATCCATGGCAGCTCTTTGGCGACCAGTGCTACAGCAAGATCTTAAAATAAAACAATACAAAAAAACCCTGCCACACTGAAGGGGGAAGCTGTGGGTCAGAAGTAAGATGTGGAGCTGGCCGAGGGAAGATAGAGAGGTCCCTGGACTTTGCTTCAAATCAAATTTTAGTTCTGGTAATGAAAGCTGCATCTTGCCTGCAGATTAGTTATTATCTCAGATTTTCTGTTACTGGATGTTGAGTTTGCCCTTATCTGGCTGACAATAGTCATTCTCTTGCAGAGAGCCTCATTTTCTGGCCAAGTTTTACTTCTATTCACCCTGCACCTGCTCCCCACTTCTCTTTCCTTCTCCATTCACTTTTTTTATTCTTCTGTGCCAGTCATGTGGGGGACTTGTTTCCCCTTGAAGCACCATTACTTTTCCTCCTGACCTAAGACCTGTCCCCTGCCGAAATAAAAAACTGCCCAGCATAAGTGGGTGTAGCTCCAAGTACTTCTCAAGAAACTTGTTTTTCTGTTCCTCTGGTTAGTTTGTGCAAAGTGCAGGTGTGTATTGTACTCAGTTGTGCCTCATGGCATTTATTAAATACAAGGTGTAACAAGCCACTGCCACAGGAACAATTACATGAAGGAGTCAGTGGCTGGTGTCCTGGGCTTAGAGACTGACTGTCCAAAGACCTGTTGTCTCATTAGATGCCTTTGCTCAGAGGGCAGGGAAAATTATTCTAATGGCTTCATTCAGAATAATTCTGCTGGTGATTTTGAACAAGGAAGTAGGAAATAAATGCCAGAAGAGGCTGTTCTTTACACTGAATCTTGAGTTAGAAATACCTAATGAGAGGAGCAGGGTAGGATGGGGAGAGGACAACTCAAGCCCCATTTCCTTTGTTCCTGAATCATTTGGCCAGGCTCTTCCCGTGGCTTAATTCCCCCCACACACACACACCCCTGTGTCTGAAAGTGGGAGCCCTGGTTAGGTTAAAGCCCAGAACTCTCGTGTCTTTCTGTTGCCTCTGGCGCCACAGAAGTAATTGGTTGATGATGTTAGGAGTCTTGTAACTTTCAAGGCTGTATATCTTTCCTCTTTTATAAGCTGGCAACAGATGAATTTTAGGACCTTTTAAAAAAAATATTGAGAACTTTGGAGCCAGTGGGGCTCCTGCTTGTGCCTTACAGTGATGATGTAAAAGAAATGTCGTGTTAGCACAGAGTGTAGAGGAAAATGGGAAGGGGACCAATAATGCCTAAGGGGTAAGAAAAGTTCTCTTGCTCTGCTCAGGGTTTGGGTTGGGGGATTTTCTGGTGGCATGTCTCCCTGCTGCAGCAGTCATCTCTGCTTGTCAGAACAGGCTGTTTCTAGCTTAGTCCTGTGCTCGGCAGAGCTAAGTCTGTTTCGTGGGTTTGGTTTTTTTCCAAATCACACTTGGTCTGATCAGTGAGACACATCTCTGCAGCTTTGCCTTCCACAGGGTTCTGTTTGTTTTAATCTCTTGAGCAATTTGGAAATGCAGAGTACTCTGTGTACACAAGCACAGGCTTGGAAATGCAGAAGTACTGCTGCGGGTTGAGCTGTCTCTTCAGTCACTTCCCAAGAATTACTTTTTAGGCTTAAACCAACCTAAGCTGTAGTCCTGCACATCTAGGCCATGGTCTTCTGTCACTGTAACTGTGGCAGGACTTTCACTCAGAGATGACAAATTACTCCTTGAAAGGAGACATTTAAAAATAGATAGTGACTAGCTTCAACCTCTGCAGCCTACGCTGGTGCCACAACTGCTCCTGCTACTCAGTCTTCAACAGTAGACCCTGCCGCACTTACCCAGCACTTTCTTGAAGCAGCAGGAACCAACACCGTGTGCCTATATTTGTAAGGGCCATGGCAGGCTCCGATTGCCGCCTTGAACTCTGGCATCTGTCAGTAGCTCATCAAATCACATCATCACCGCTAAATACTAGCGAATGGGTAGGAGGAGGAAAGAAACACCCTGCTCTGGTGAGCTGTACTTGGTACAGCTTAGTCATCTCCTATGTAGAAGAGATGTGCTATGTACACTTACTCATCTGCTATGTAGAGGTACTATATACACACTTACTCATCTCCTATGTAGAGGTTTGGCCAGACTTCATTCACATGCGTGTACTTCGGGCATCCTTTCCAGAAGAGTCGCTCCAATTCAAAGGCACCTGGGGTACAGTAATCCTCATCAGGATCTACTTTGATTGCTCTGTATGCATTTTTCTTCCCAGCGTTCAAACCTGCTGATGACATCTTGTCCATGGAGTAGTGTGCTCAGGATGTGCAAGAAACTGGAATGCAACCAAAACACAATGTTAAGCACAAAGCAAGTGAGTTCTGCTCTGGTTGTGGGACACTGGGAGCAGCACTGGCCAGGTGTGATTGGGCATGGTGTGAGATGGATGTACCTGCTCTGTGGCAGATGCAGATTCATACCTGGATTTCTGCCTCCCGTGAACTAGGCGAGGAATACTTGATGAGCTCACCAGCAGCAGGAACAAAAGCCAAAGGTTTGTGATCACCAAAGTTTGGTCTCCACTGGGAATTTGTTTCCTAGAAAATCCACTGGTAAGAATTTGGTAGGTCTAGCAGCCTGATCTAAAGGATCTAGAGCACCTAGGGGAACTGGATGGGGGAAATTTAAGATGTTTCTTTATCAGTAATTGCAAATCTCCTAAAGGGTTCTCCTTTATATGATTTTCAGCAGCTCAGGGAGATTAAATGTGTCCATTCAGGTGCATGCTGTGTATACCTGTTTTACTCTTTCAAGATCTCAGTGCAGTCCTGCATGCAGAACCTTGTAGGCTGTTTGCAGGAATGGGAGTTTGCCTTTTTGTGGCACCACTGGCCGACTGACAAAATGTTTTTTTTAGCCAGGGTGGGCTCAAGGACTTCCTTTTTTCAGGTTCACTCTCTTTTTTAACTTAGATGCATACATACCAAATGGGGAGGAAGAAGCACTGATGAACATACAGTATAGAAGGGAGCAACGTTATCCTGTAGCTAAAAATCAAGAGTATCATTAAAGTTGCCAAAAACAACACTCTTTGCCTGGCCATGTTGTCAGAGCTGACACCCTTCATGTCCCATGTGTTTGAGCTGTCTGCTAGTATTGAATCCTTTGGTGTGAGCTTTATGCATCTCTTGATGCTCCAGATTTCCTCCTGCTTGCTGTGACTTCCTTAGCTGCTGTCCTGATTTAGACTTCCCCCC